CCTGATGTTGAAGGACTCATCCCCACATATACTTGACCCATGAGAGGCATGGGGGGGCTGCTTAGAGAAAGAACCTGTGGTCTTTACAGCCAACAGCCCAACAGCCAGCTCGAGAGGCGCACTCAGCACAGGTAACTTGGGCCATGCGCATCGGACACAGGGTCTCCGCAGCGGACTTGGCACCATTTCAACCGTGCACTAGAGCATGCAAATGCAGTCACACAATATCAAACAACTCCTGCTAGGTGTCAGTGCCTCTGTGCCTCTCCCAGACTCCCAGACCATGAATTAGGGACTGGACATGACTGGACTTTGTACTTACATTCACCGCACTCCTGAAATCATCCAAATGTAGGTGGCATATAAATATCACATACATGGAGTGCCGGCGGTATCTCTCCCTCCCTCCCCCTCCCTCCCTCTCTCTCTCTCTCTCTTTGTCTCTCTCTCTCTCTCTTTCTCTCTGTCTCTCTCTCCATCACCCTTTCCATGAGATTGGCTAGAGAGTGACAGGTCAGCAAGCAAGCGTGTGGACTAGCTGCTAGCTGCTAAGTCCAAGTCCCAGCACCCGACCCTCCAAGGCTGTTTTAGGACCCTAACAGGTGGTGGACCTGGGCACCTCTGGTCGCCAGGAGGGGCGCGCCTGTTGGAGGATCTAGCCGGTCCATGTCAACATGTCAACCGACCACGACCAAGGTCCACCCGTCACCCGCAACCAAATCTGAGATATGTGAGGTCCAGGGAATCCAAATGTGCAGTTTTTGTTGTTCAAACACGTTCGCACAAAAAATCCGTGCATCCGGCCTTTTTCGTCAAATGGACAAATTTTCTGGAATTCCTCCAAATATTGGGTTTGATTGGGTTTTATCAATATAATTGTTTGGGTTTTTGTCGATAAAATGTTTGGGTTTCATATGGGTGCGCTTTTGTACGGTATTGTTTTTTGGTCCATACGGCTAAATACGCTAATTCGTTAATTAACATGTCCATACGATAAATTCAGTCCAAATACGGCCTTCGCACCAAAAAAAAGTGTTCATACGCCTTTCCAGGGTGACAAGAGGTGCCTTCAAAGCACCCAACAAGAATCATACCCATACACGACTAATGGGACTGCCTGCCAGGACTGCCGACCCATTGACCCCCCTGGCACCACCCCAATCAATCGGCAGTCCTATGCCAGTTGCATGAGTCGCGTCTGGGATACCTACACTCCTTGAAATCATGGAAGTAAAGAAGTGAAGTTCACCACCGGTTTGGCATTCGGATTGCACATGGTCATGGTCATCTAACAGGCCATGCCATCTGCGATCCATTCCGAGTTGATCTTCCATGCCAACAGGTCGAGCTTTGGCTGGTTTGTTCGGTTGAAAGGTCGACGGTCTGAGCCACGCCAAATCTTCCACGCCAGGACCTTCAAAGTGTGGAGTCTCTGTTTGTGGCCCTTTACGGGCCTGTTCGCGACCTCATCCTGGGATATCTAAAAGGTCAATCATGTTCTTGATCCGGTTTTGGTGAACCCATGGGCCTCCCTGTCCCCGAGAACACCGCGAGATGGGCCGAATTTCAGAGCAAACACCATCGGTCGAAGCTCCTATGATGGTGTATCTCAAATGGAGTGCTCGAGTATCTCAGCTTGGATTCGCTTCGGAATATCTTCCCCAATTTCAGGATTCACAAAGGAACCAGGAACATCCAGGAACATCATGGAGAATACACCATCTACCTGATCCACAAAACCAGGAAAGATGGTGCAAGTGCAAGGCTTCTTGTTCCGTTTTGATGAGGGTGGCCATTACCACTGCCATTACCCTGCTGCAAAACGATCCCATGGATCGATTGAAATTGAATCTGCAGGCAGCTCCCTTCACGGCTCCGGACAATCCCGCCTGGACAGCCATCTCCTTACATGCCACTGGCACAACCTGCCATGTCCCAAAGGTCCCAAAAACCCATATTGGACACGAACAGTTCGGTGGGGGCTTTTGATCCTCACCACTAAATACAGCTAGGGCTTTTGGATTGGACCAAACCTCACCCAAACACTCCGGACTGCCGCCCCAGACAGACCCCCCTGGCACCACCACCACCCCTGGCCACGGCCGGAACTCTCGGCAGTCCGTCCCATGGCCAGGTCGTGGTCTGGGAGTCTCATCGGGTCACATGGGCCGGTCGCCAGATGAATGGCGTGTATAGAGGGAGCAAAATGCAATCCCCCAACACGCCGTAAGTGGGTCCCAGATTTTTTGATTTTGCCGTTTGCAGCGCCTGCTGGTGAAGGAGTTTGTCATAGTTTGTCCAAACATTTGGCCATGTGCTGGGGCTTCGCGAAAGACTCAACACATCTCAACACTCATAATTACTACAAGTCCAAAGACCCAGTAAAACCTGGTCCTTTACCTCCTTGAGTAGTGTTTTTGTATGACCAACTTCAGTAACATGAGGTCATTGACTTGTATATATAGGGATTAATTACTATAAATACTGCTGGGATGCCCACCGTTCACCCGGGTCGGTGCTTTGCAGGCACTCGATCCAAAAAACCCGATCGATCGTCCAACACCCAAGACCCGGCCGCCGCCGGAAGCTCCTCCTCCTTTGGAGCCTGGATGACGGCGCGAGGCGCGGAGAACGAGAACGAGAAAAAGGAGAAAAAACACAGCAGGAGCTGTGTGGAGCTGCAGGTAGGGCTGCATTGACTTGTTTCAAGCAGAAACTGACGAAGGTCGACTAAGGTGCGGCAACCCCGGTGAGTTGGGGCTCAAGTTCCACTCTGTTTGGACGCCCCATCTCTGCTCCAATGTTGCTCAGAGTGACGCCCCCGTTCGGTTCGCGTCCGAACGCTCTGGACTCGTAGCGATGCCAGCCCCGATCGTAGCGAACATTGCTCCGATCGTAAGGCCAGGAGCCCCTGCCGTCTATTTTGCCCCAACCTTCCAATTAAGGCGCCTTGGCCTCACGAGCATACAAGGCCACAGCTGCTAGCACAGGGATGGAAAGCTCCGGCGGAATCCTGTCGTGCACATGAGAAGCGGAATCCCAAAAAGACCTGAGGATGTTTCTGTTGTATGATGCAGCCTGAGGATATTCAGTAGCTGCTCATCTAGCAAGGGGTTGGGGAACCCCCTGTAGCTTTTTGGTTCCCTGTTGAGTGGGGAATATCAACCCCCCCCCGACTGCTTAGCTCCTTCCAGTCATAAAATGTCCTGGAACACCGGAAGGTGGCACTCTCAAACACTGACACTGTTGACTCTTTCACTGCGATCATTGCAAACCCTGATGATTCTGAAATTGAACTCGACCGCTAGCCAAGTATCTGGCACTGTATCTGGCCCCCTTCCGCCTCAGACTACTCCTTAGACTACTCCTCAAACTACATCAAAAATTCATCAAAATACATGTATTAAGCTAAATAATCTGCGCATCGAAGCGGCTGGCCCTGTGAAAAAGAAGTCGACACCAGGACCCCCCCCCCCCTGCTGCCTCCCCTGCTCCCATGCTCCACTTCCACCCTCACCCTACAAGTACCTCACCTCTCAGAGCTCAACTCATTCCGACCGTCCCACACGACTGCCACCCCCAGCCATCACCAGCCTCTGCTCCAATCGACCTTTGCTGCGGCGGCTCAAGTCCACATCTGCACGTGCCACTTGTCGCACCAACCTGCGCGCACGTGCGACGGTCCGATCGGGTGTGGTGGACGTCCACCACACCGGAGCACCTCGGAGCTGAAACTCGATCTTGGGGGGAAGCACACATTACCCTACAGGTCAAAGACCTCATTTGACTGGATCCGGTCATGCAAAGCCAGTACTCAATGAAGTCAAGGACCAGGTTAAACTTGGCCTTTGGACTTGTAGGGTTATATGGTATTTGGCAAACTGTTCCATCCTGGACCATTATTAGTGGGAAAACGTGCTTCCTTTTGGGACGTCGGCAAGACATTCAGTTTTGTCATATTTGAGAGGTCAGGAACTGACGTCATGGTACTGGAGTATAACTCATACAATCTCATACAACGATATAACACTACTCAAATCTACTCCAGGAGGTAGGGCACCACCGGGTTTGTACTGTCTCTTTGGACTGGGTCAGGGCACTTCCACTGGCACTTCCTGTGCATGTCCAAATGGTGCCCAGCGACTCCAAATGCGCCCAGCCATCCCAGTCCATGGCAGCCATGCTGCGTGGGCAGAAGACAAGGCAACGACCAGGACCCTCCAAGGGGTGTCTATAAATAGCCTCTGCCTGAGGTGATTCAGGGTGCCCCAAAACCACCAGACTTGGAATGTCCTCAGATATTGAGATGTCTTGAGTTTGTTTGTCCAACATGCAGAATGAAGAGTTTCGAACCTGCCATGCGGCCTACAAACGTTTCGGCCTGCTACTAAGCGCAGTGCATAAGAGAGGCAATGGCCCAGCACACGTGATTGATCATGATTGACAGGAAAGAACTCTATTGTATCTATAGAGTCTACAATAGAGTAGCGCGAGCTGGTCAATTTGGTTGTTCTGGGTCTTCACCAGGGATCTTCACCAAGCAACTTTAAGTATTCTGAGCTCTGATGTTCAAAACATATCCAAGCTCCACCAGGCCGTCTGAGCCACAGCTGCGGGGCAAAATCGAGACCTACTAGGAGCAAGGACTACTAGGGGCTCCTGGCCGCGCTTGGCAAAATGATGGACCCCTACAAGTCCAAAGGCCAAGTTTAACCTGGCTTTGCATGACCGGATCCAGTCAAATGAGGTCTTTGACCTGTAGGGGACGATCAAGCACAAAGGGTGTCTCTGCTTCGAGAACACTGTCTTCCTCGATATTCCCATCACGACTTTCATTCATCCTGTGCACGGCCTACCGTTTCGCCAGGGGGCGAAAGCCTTTGGAGTCAATGCATGTAGACCTGCCCAGAACCTCAAGGCCCTTCCGCGGATCGGACGCTCGGCTCGCCGAGTCGGCGGATCCGTGGGGAGGTCAACCACCGCGACCGGAGGCGCTGGGCCTTCTGCTCCCACTTTCGCCAGGCATGGAGGCCCAAGGGATCCAGGTTCGCCGACTCGTGGCCTCGAACCTGCGGTCGGGTTGAGGTGGTCGGCAGGTCATGAAGGGACCTGCCGAAGGGAACAAGAAGCACTGGCAGGTATCATCTGCTTCACAGGTGTCTAGGGGCCCAGTGACCAGGGTTTGGGAGATGTGTAGCTGCTTTTGGTTTGGGACTCAGGCACTGACTGAACATGACCAAATCTGCAGCAAAATAATGATTAATATGTAAAATGTTTTGCTAGGCTGCTAGACTTCCGGTGGAAGAGAAGAATGGAAATGGACCTCAGATGCTCTCACAAACCAGCCTTGCTAAACTGTATAGGTTGTGCATGGCCGCGGCGCTGTAACAGAGACCACAACTGGATGCACAAAAATTAGCACCAGAAAAATGCTTTAAAAAACCTTTAGATCCAATTGGATGGCACTCTCACCACAGGAACTCCTTTTTTCACTCTCATCTATGGGCCCTCCTGCCCGGTGAAGCCATGGGAAGTCACAAAACCCTTCCATCAAGCAACACATCAGTAGGTTGTGAAAAAAGATATACCTCAAGTAGCATTAAATAGGTCAAGTGGTGTTAGTCTATAGTAGTAGTTGTTTCGGTCCTGTGGGAATTGGGACGTGCTTTGTCTTTAAATGCTTTCGTGGGGCTGGGTTGTGTGGGCAATACGACGGTTTTTCTTTTAAAATGATTTCGTGGGGCGGCCCGGGCAACCGGGTGCTGCTATTCCCTGTAAATGCTTTCGTGGCGCCGGGTCCTGTGGGAATTGGAGCGCATCCGGGGCGGCGCTATTCCCTGCAAATGCTTTCGTGGGGCCGGGTCCTGTGGGGACGGGGGGCGCCGCTTTGCCTTTAAATGCTTTCGTGGGGCTGGGTCCTGTGGGCAAGCCGACAGCTTTTCCTTTTCAAATGCTTTTGTGGGGCTGGCCATTGGAAACGGGGGCGCTGCTTTTCCTGCGAGCGCTTTCGTGAGCCGGGTCCTGTGGGAATTGGGACGCCGGTTTGCCTTTAAATGCTTTCGTGGGGCTGGTCCTGTGGGCTCATTTTTTCCTTTTAAATGTTTTCGTGGGGGCCCTGTGAGAATTGGGGCTGGGTTCTTCCTTCAAATGCTTTCGTGAGGCTGGGTCCTCTGGAATTGCGCGGGCCGCTTTTCCTTTAACTGCTTTCATGGGGCTGGACCCTGCGAGCCGGCGCGCGGAACCGGGGCTCGGCCTTCCCTGTAACGGCTTTCGTGGGGCTGGGCCCTGGGGACCGGGGCGCCGAACCGGGGCACGGCTCTGGTGGCTGGGTCCTGGCAACGCTTGCGTTTCTAGCCTTTCCCTTGTGTTTTTTCTTGTGCTAGATTTCGTCAAATCTGGTGCTATTTTTTGTGCTCCCAGTTGTGCTTTTTCTGGTGCTAAATTTCGTCAAATCTGGTGCTAA